AAGAGAATTGCTTGAGCCCAAGAGTTTGAAGTTGCTGTGAGTTATGACACATGGCACTCTACTAAGGGCGGCAAAGAGACTGTCTCAAAAAAAAAAAAAAAGAGCTATAGCTTTTATGTTTTTGTATTCTCCTCTACCTCTCCCTGGTTTAGGTCAAACATGATGCCTGTCCCATGGGAGATGATCAGTAAATAATTGTTGAAAGCAATTGGTCAGCTAATGATTTCAACAATAGTGCCAACCAGATTAGCTCATTAAAACCCAGACTTCTCCCTTTTTCCCCAATCAGTACTAAATTCAGCTTGAACTATCTGGGGAAATGCCTCAGTTCTCCTTTTCCTTTTGCCTGCCTAGCTGAGGTTCAGGGGCAGGTGGCTTCAGGAGAAAAGTTATCTGAAAATGGTGAGTGATGCAGACTTTAGACTGACAGCTGCTGATCTTTGCTTTAGTTGATTTCCCCTTTTGCAAATGGTTATTGGCAATTGAAACTGCAAATCTATCTGCTCCCCTATGTAAATTGCATTTACATTTAAATTGTGCATTCTTCCAAAGAATGGGGTTGGTAAATAACTGGCAGATTAAATTTGAGGAGAGGAAATTGTGCCCCACGTCAAACCTGAGACTGAAGTGACATCTGGCTTTTACTACTTCCGTTCTTTCGGTTTAATAACAGCATGTGGCATTAAGGCAAGAGAAATTGGATCTACATTTTAATGAAAGAAGGAAGCTCTCAGGGTTTAGATACCTTATCATCTTGAATACCTAGTCGATTGGCAATTAAAACTTGCTTCCCTCAAGAAATGGAGTATCTTTGCAGCCAGGGAGAATAAAAAACAAAAAACAAGCTAATGTCCAGGACTGCACAGATAAAACTGAGGGAAATGGGGGGCTACAGAGCATTGAAAGCAAACATTTCAGGATACTGTAGAGTACAGGCATTCTTAAATGAAATAATGCTGACAATAAAATCGTGAATATGCTGGCAGATCTTCAAGGGAACATCTTCAGACAGAATAGTTTGCACATAATAGGGGGCTCAACCCCATAGTGTTGCTTGAGATCATCTGATTTAATCCTTCTCAACCAAGCTTGTTTTAAACTCCAGAGATTTAACCAAGAAAATACTTTAGAAATGCCTGTTTCAATCCCAGTAGTCTGTTTAAATGGAAGCATTTCCACCTGCTGGCTGCTTTTTGTTGAAAGCAATTCTGGGGAATGTAAACAAAATGCTTGTGCATCTAATAACCCAAGCCTATCATTTATTTGCTTTGATTGAAACAAATGTGTCAATTTTCAAAGACTTTGTTTGGTGAATCCAATGTTTGGATGTTGGTAAATGTTTGCATTACATGTTTGTTTGGAAATTGATGCTCTATTCAGAAACTCTGAAGCCCTTGAAGCCATAGCCTGGGAGCATTCAATAAGCCTTCCTAAACATCTACCCAAAGATGTTCAACTCTCTCCCAGAATCTGGAAAGAGTTGAAATTATAGATTCCCAAGCAAATATAAATGGGACGATAGAACCTTCTGAAGAAGAGAATGGCTTTAGAAACTTTCTGAGGCTAGGGCTCAAGAATAGAATAGGCTCGGCACCTATAGCTCAACCGGCTAAGGCGCCAGCCATGTACACCTTAGGTGGTGGGTTCGAATCCCCAGCCCGGACCCACCAAACAACAATGACGGCTGCAACCAAAAAATAGCCGGGCGTTGTGGCGGGCGCCTGTGGTCCCAGCTACTTGGGAGGCAGAGGCAGGAGACTCTTGAGCCCAGGAGTTGGAGGTTGCTGTGAGCTGTAATGCCACAGCATTCTACCCTGGGGGACAGCTTGAGGCTCTGTCTCAAAAAAAAAAAAAAAAAAAAAAGAAAAAAAAAAAAAATTAAAAAAAAAAAGAGGGCAATGCCTGTGGCTCAAGGAGTAGGGCACTGGCCCCATATACTGGAGGTGGTGGGTTCAAACCCAGCCCTGGCCAAAAACTGCAAAAAAAAAAAAAAAAAGAATAAAGGAAAACATTTATGTAATACTATGTGCCAAGCATTTTATGTGTATTAAAACTCATTAAATAACATAACAGCCCTTTGAGGTTGGTACCATTGGCATCCCCTTTTCAGATGAGGAAGAGAAGTTAGTAACTCCCCCAGTCTGACATCACCCAACTGGTAAATAATGGAGCTGGGATTTGACTCTAGGCAGGCTGGCTCCACTGTCCTCATCACCCTTATGTCCTTGGTATTTAATCAAGACATTGTGTTTTCTCACAGTTAACATTTTGTCCTGCATAAATATTTTTAAAATCTAAGCAGTCTTTCTTAGAAGATGCAAGCTAATAGTCTGACAGATCTTTCCCTAAACAAAAAAAGCAACAAGAAGTAGCCTTTTGCAATGTAGATGATAATATCTGTCTCAGCTGTCTCAAGGGAGAGTCCAGAGGATGAAATAAGATGATATGAAAATGCTTTGAAAGGCCAAAACCATCAATCTCCTGCAATGTATTATTTATCTGCATCCCATCCTTATTTTTATTTTCTTAAATGAGCAAATTTAAGAAATTTAATATAGGTTTCCTCACTTCCCTGTTTTTCTCTAAAGCATATGGCCACATTACCCATCTACTAGTATGGGTCTTTTGATGGGTGGCCTATACACCTGAGTTTGTCCGATTTCTCATTTCTCTTCCCTATATCTTGGCACCATTTGGTTTGATAGCACCTCCTTACTTCCTGTGCATAATGATAACTTCCCTTCATCTCTTGACATTTTATCATGGCAGCCTGCCTATGAAGTCGTCCAGTACCTCCTTCTGTTTGAACTCAAGTTAAATTAATCATCTGATTTGCACATCAGTCTGTTGCTATGGGGGTTACTGATGTCACACTGTCAGTATTATGATTACCATAATATCTAACAGGCAAAAAGGGATTGGTTGCTAGTGGAAACCCCAGGGTGAAACTCACCCAGCTTTAGTTACCAACTTGATTGCCTAGACTTCAGATAACCATGTGAAGGGGTAAGTGGATTAATCATCTAGTTGGATTTCATTTGAATATTTTTCTTCCATATGTGTGTTCCCTCTAGGCAATTGTCTAGTGTCACTTGAAATTGATGAGGGTTCTTTGGGAGGCTATTTTTGGGAAGCTGGTAAAGCAACAGACAGCTGTTCTTAGGAACAAATGTCACAGTATCTGCCTAAGCTAGCTTCCATTTAAAAAAAAAAAAAATCTGAGGTGCTGAAGCACATTGTCCATTTATTTACTGGCATTAGGTTGTTTCCTACTGGCCTAGAAGTGTTAATTTACTTTCCCAAACACATAGAAAAGAATGTGCTAGAATGTGCCCTCCTTAAAACATAACTTCAGGCTCGGCACTTGTGGCTCAAGTGGCTAAGGCGCCAGCCACATACACCTAAGATGGCGGGTTCAAATCCAGCCCGGATCCGCCAAACAACGATGGCTGCAACCAAAAAATAGCCGGGCGTTGTGGCGGGCGCCTGTGGTCCCAGCTACTTGGGAGGCTGAGGCAGGAGACTCGCTTGAGCCCAGGAGTTGGAGGTTGCTGTGAGCTGTGAAGCCACGGCACTCTACCCAGGGGGATAGCTTGAGGTTCTGTCTCAAAAAAAAAAAAAAAATAACTTCAAAGTTGAGAACTGGCAAGGTGTTCTTGAAAAACCCTATTATGAGTAACAATTCACAACTTTTCCTAGCTTGTATACAATGTTCTTTCTAATTGGACATTGATTGATCACCAATAAAAGCAAAGTCATTGCTTAAAATTGGTCTAGATCATCCTATGCTGAGTAATTATCTTGCAGTTGTTGTCACTGTAATATTAAAAAGCCTTGAAACACGATAGAAACGAGGTACAATAAATAAGCTCCAAAATTAAAAATCTCTGTTAGAAAGTTTGATGAATGGGTCTGTCTTTTTCAGGATCTTGTTAAGTAGGTAGAAGGATCGATTGGGGGGGAGGATCAAGGGATCAACTAAACACAGCTGATTGAACTTGAGGCTGAGTAGGTTTGGAAAGCCATATTGAGAGTTGCATAATCTATATAAATCAATTTGTGTGCCAGAGAATGAATAGCTGACTTTTTTTCAAATGCCAATTCAGCAATTACAAAGTCTGCTGGCGGTTAATTAAAAACTACCATCTCGTTATGTTCAGAGTTAAATTACAAGTGTGAAAACTACTACGGTTTGCAATAACTGAATGCTCTGTACTCTCTGTACTCTCATCAAAAGGAGGGCAGGGATAAATAACTTTTATTTAACTCATTAAAAAATCTCTCTCAGCTCTTTCATATTTAATTAACTTCTTATCTTCTCAGTGCTCTAGTCTTACTCAAAGTTCCTGAGCAGTAATGGAAATATTTGTTAATTTTATCTAGAAGACTTTTCTCACATTAGTTGAGTTGAAAAGTTAGAAATAATCGAACCCCAAGGACATTGAGGAAAGTGGCACCCATCTAAAGTTTTTTTTTTCTTTTTTATTTTGAGACGGAGTCTCACACTGTTTCCCAGGCTAGAGTACCATGGCATCATGATAGCTCACAGCAACCTCAAACTCTTAGGCTCAAAAAATCCTCTTGCCTCAGCCTCCCAAGTAGCTGGGACTATACCACACCCAGCTAGATTTTTTTTTTTTCTATTTTTTAGTAGAGACAGAGTTTCAGTCTTGCACAGGCTGCTCTCAATTCCGACTTGGCCTCTCAGAGTGCTAGGATTATAGGCATGAAGCACCACGACCAGCCCCATCTAAAGTTATACATTCAGACAATTAATCCCAGCAGGGATGTATGGCAGAAAACAGCAGAAAGTGTTGATTATTTTTACATTATTGCCTGTGCATCTTTGAGAATAGGGAGGTCAGGTTGTAAACACTTTTGTGAACTGATAATGTTTTAGTACTTATTTGTAAATAAATAAGTAAGGCTATCTTAGTGACTTTAATATTTTGCTATGTCAAGGATTCCACTGTCAGAAAAGAGGCCAAACTTCTGTCACCATGGTGGACGTAGCATGTCTGAATGACTGTGAATTGCAAAGCCAACTTCGAAAGCTTGGATACTCACCTGGCCCAATACTACGTATGTAGAGTATATAGCAAATATCAGAGACTAGTCGTTTATTTCTTGTTTTGTATTGTTTGAGACAGAGTCTCACTTTGTAACCCTGCATAGAATGCCATCGTGTCATAGCTCACAGCAGCCTCAGACTCTTGGGCTCAAGTGATCCTCTTGCCTTAGCCTCCGGAGTAACTAGGACTATAGTCACCCACCACAATGCCTGGCTATTTTTAGAGATGGGGTCTCACTCTAGCTCAGGTTGATCTCCAACTCCTGAGCTCAGGCAATCCACAATTGGCCTACAGGCGTTAGCCACCATCCCTGGCCCAGTCATTTATTGTTTACAAACTACCTCTGAAGATTTAAAACAACTTACAGTAGAAGAAACTATCCAATAAATACCATTAAAATAGAACTAGGAAAATGGAGAAAACAGAACACTATAAAGAGAGAAGTATCCAGATCCTACTTACGGATCAGTAAGTACAGTTCCAGATAGAAGGGATTAATTTTTTTCAACAATGGAAAACCAGTTACTCTTTTTTTTTGCAGTTTTTGGCCAGGGCTGGATTTGAACCCGCCACCTCAGATGTATGAGGCTGGCGCCCTACTCCTTTGAGCCATAGGTGCCGCCCAAAACCAGTTACTCTTTACTATATTACCCTGTTTTTTTGTGTTGGTTTTAGTACCTGCACTTTATTAACTGTTTATCATCTATATTTCTCATAGATAGAATGCACAACCTTGCCTGTTTTTTTCTCAAATGTATACAATGGCTCACTCTGAGGCTAATCCACGAGAGGCAACACCTGTATGTTTATAGACGGGATGGTGTGAGTTGAGTGACTGTGGAGTCCACTTCATTTTAAAAACCATAATTAACCAGTAATGTAAGGGACAAAAATAAAGGTCTGGATCATAAAATACCTCGAACCCAGTGGGATCACATACAAAAACAGAACAATTTAATTTGTCCTCCACATTCTTCCTCAGCTTCCACCAGAAAGTTGTATGAAAAAAAGTTAGTGCAGTTGTTGGTCTCACCATCATCATCTGCAAAGAAAAGACCCAGCAAGCTGGATGGACCTCAGGACAGTGATGACAGTGAAGGTACCGTCATGAGCGATATTGCTAGATAGCAACTTCACACTTATCAGTACCTAGTCCAACATAATTTACCCAGCTTCAAATGGGGTTCAGGCCATTGCACACAATAACCTGTGAGATGGCCGTGTGGCCTGTTTTAGCCTGGGCTATAAAAGGAATCTGTAGCTCTCTGTCTGTATTCACTCTAGTGACTCAATTGGGTGGGAAGGTGGGGGAAAGACCGCTTAAATTGCAGGTCCTTTTATTAACTGGAGCCGAGTATGTGCTGATTTCTTAAAACCGGAAGTTCCTACAGGTAAATCCTAGGCCTCCTTTGAGGTCTCAACCTCTGCTTTGTCTCAATCAATAAATTTGACAATTATTTCTTTCAGATGAAATGATTTCATGCCTATTAAGAAAGATGAACCAGACCACACCTCCCTGGCCCCCTCCTATACCAGCTGCCCTCCTGGTTGCCTTGGGAGCTGACAGCAGCTGGTCTCTTCTGGATGGCAGAGTGGGTGGGGAGCAGTGGTCTCTGGGATCCCTGGACTTTGCTTACAGTGGCCTCTGCCCCAGATACGCATTCTCCTGCAGTGGTTTCTAGCTTCTGAGCTCTTAGGGGATGGCCTTGAAAGTTCCCCCAATACATTTCAAGGCTTTCCAGTGGACAAATATTTATTAGGAGTCTTCTATGAGGCTAGGAGGCACAATAAAATAACAGGAACTGCCGTTTATTGAAGGCCCCCAGTGTGTGCCAGGCCTAATGTGCATTATTGCATTTAACCCTCACAGCACTTTGCAGAAGCTCAGAGAGGCCGAGCCGAGTGACTGGCCCAACATCAGTTAGCTTGGGAGTGGCCCCAGAAGATAAGCATACATTAGACTGTGCCATGTAGAACAGGGGCCATCTGTCTTTGTCACTACTCTATGTCCAACTCCCTAGAATAGTACCAGGCAAGTAGCAGGAATCCAGCATATGTTTGTTGAATGAAAGTGACAGAACTGAGATTTAGACCCAGTCTGGCTCTTAGAGTTGTGCTCTTTCCACCAAATACCCTATACTTTACTCATAATTTCTATCGTAAGGATAAACACATTACATTTTGGACCACACGAGCTACAAAAAAGGACACTTTCATATAGTTCAAATAAATAATTCAACAGTCAATACAAATACCTGAGCCCTCTGAAAAAATCCTGTAACCCTGGTATTAGAGGTGGTGGCACAGGTGCTGAGAGCTTTCCCCAAAGGTTTGGCATACCTGGTCTCATTTGAAAAGGACAGCAGGCTGGGCGCCTATAGTTCAACCGGCTAAGGCGCCAGCCACGTACACCTAAGGTGGTGGGTTCGAATCCCCAGCCCGGACCTGCCAAAACAACAATGACGGCTGCAACCAAAAAATAAGCCGGGCGTTATGGTGGGCGCCTGTGGTCCCAGCTACTTGGGAGGCAGAGGCAGGAGACTCGCTTGAGCCCAGGAGTTGGAGGTTGCTGTGAGCTGTGATGCCACGGCACTCTGCCCAGGGGGACAGCTTGAGGCTCTGTCTCAAAAAAAAAAAAAGAAAAAAAGAAAAGGACAGCAAAGTCTGGGGCTGTGCTCCACTGACCCTTCAATAGAACAGTTAGCACAGGGGTGGCTCAGGGCAAGTGGCTGCCCCAGACCCCTCCTGGATGAAGAGTGTGTTCTGAGTCCTATTTCAGATCAGGAATAGGCCAGCCTTCTGCTGAAAAGCAATGCTGGTTGAAGATTCCAAAATTGCTCATGACTGCTCAGGATTGCAAGTCAAAGCTGTAAACCCAAGCTGTTAAGGTCTCAGGCCCAGCAGTGGTTCCCAGCATGCAGACCTCCACAGAGGTGCATTTCTGCTAGAGCTAAGAGAAAATCAGTCCTTCAGTTTGTAAGCTTTGCCACTGCTTTAGACTGTGCCAGCTTTTGACTCCTACCATGGGCTATTGGGGTCAGAGGTGGAAGCTCTGACTCACTTCAACCCTTATAATGCAATTCTATGTTATCAATGGCTGGTGATTGCTACAAGTAGAAAACCCATTCTCCAGATTAAGTTTGAAGCAGACATTTGTTATTATTATTATTTTTTATTATTGAGACAGAGTCTGACTTTATCACCCTCAGTAGAGTGCTGTAGCGTCACAGCTCACCGCAACCTCACACTCTTGGGCTAAAGCAATTCTCTTGCCTCAGCCTCCCTAGTAGCTAGGACTACAGGCACCCACCCCAATGCCTGGCTATTTTTGTTGTTGTTGTTGTTTAGGAGGCCTGGGCTGGGTTTGAACCCACCAGCCCCAGTGCATGTGGCTGATGCCCTAACCACTGAGCTACTGGCACCCAGCCTGAAGCAGGCATTTGAATTTGCTCATTGGAAGAGTCTCATAGAGCCTGGTGCCATTACAATGAAGGGTATGAAATGGAACAGATGGGAAGGTGGTGTAGGGGTGGGGGTTGAAGAGGGTGGTTCTGTGGATTCAGCCTTGGGCATTTCCCAGAAACACCTGGTTGTGAGATGGGGTGTGGTGGGGAGTGGGGGTGCAGAGTGTTCTAGACTGTGGCTGAGCGTTGGCCCATCCCAACAATCAAAGGGTTTGATTTTCTCATTTTCACTACTTGCTTCAGCACTGGGTGGATACAGCTTTAATTATCTAACCCCTTTTCAAACTTCCCAAATATTTTTGACTTGGAGAAATCACTCCAAATCCCCTGCATTAACAGCCGTCCTGGCTGCATGACAGCACACGATTCCCCCAAGTTTATCAAAATGCTGCTCCACCGGCTGATTCACAACAGCCTCTATGTCCCTGGCAGCTCCCAGGATTTCAGAGCCTTTTAGCACAGGTCTGGCCTTCCCTTCCCCGGGTGCTTTTTTAGATACAGAAGGAGAAAAACCCTCCTGCCCAATCTTGACATTCAGGGATGCGCAGGGCTTCCAGCTGGTTCAAAGGGACAAAGACTAGACTGAAAACAGCTGCCCAGATGAGCAGACAGCCTGCGTGTTTCTCTCGGAGGCATACAAATATGACAGCCTTACTGTATTCCCTGGGGGGGCCTAGGCATGTTTCACAAAGGCCACTATGGCTCAGGAGAAACGATCTTTCCCCGCAGGAGGCCAGCATGAATTTTCTTCCCCTCACAAAATGCCCTCTGATTGAGAGAATCCACCCCCGTGATTGGTGTTTGTTCCCTTTGCTAGCTCGTGTGTTCTCATGGCCTATTTTCCTTTTGTTTCCTATGATCCAGAGATTAATATCATGTTGAAAGGGAATATCACACTCTCAACAGAAAAAGGCAACGAACTCAGAAAAGTATGTACAATTCTTTTACCAACGTAGTGAAAATAGGAAATAGCACCTTTCATGTGTATTAAGAAGGCAAATAGAAAGTCACTACATTCTGTTATAGTGGTAAAATCCAAGTTTAAAGAAGATCCTTTTAATGCACTTTTCGGTTTTGTGAAGTGGTTTCCATGTTGTAGCAGAGGACCCAGGCAAGGTAACAGCGTCCATCCTGCTCATCCTTGAAAGAGCCACCATCCTGCTTCCCTCAGCTGTCACCGCCCAGCGGCTTTCACCACCTGTAGTCTGTGTTCACATATAGCACTGGGCTCAGTTCGAGGTACACAGTAAGCATAGAATCAATGTGAGCTTCTGTTCCCTTATCTTTTCCAGTTGCTAAGATCTGGCTTCCCCACCACCGTATTGTAGCACTCAGCCAAGTGTGTAAGGGTTACAGGTTTGGGGTGAGGCCTTGCTGGTGAAGAGACTCTGCCGGTCTCAAGCTGTGGTCCTGGGTAGAGTGCCATGGCATCATAGATCATAGCAACTTCCAACTCCAGCTCAAGCGATCCTCTTGCCTCAGTTTTTTTCTTTTTCTTTCTTTCTTTCTTTCTTTCTTTTTTTTTTTTAGTAGAGACACAGTCTCACTTTTGCTCGGGCTGGTTTTGAACTCGTGAGCTCAAGCTATCCACCCACCTTGGCCTTCCAGAGTGCTAGGATTACAGATGTGAGCCACTCAGCCCCTTTTTTCTTTTTCTTTTATTTATTTATTTTTTAAGACAGATTCTCACTCTGTGGCCCTGGTAGAGGGCCATGGCATCATAGCTCACAACAACCTCAATCTCTTGGGCTCAAGTGATCCTCCTGACTCAGCCTCCCAGTAGCTGAGACTATAGGCACCCACCAGGGTACCCAGCTAGTTTTTCTGTTTTTAGTAGAAATGGGGATCTCATTCTTGCTCAGCCTGGTCTTAAACTCGTGAGCTCAAAGAATTCACCAGCCTTGGCCCCCCAGAGTGCTAAGATTACAGGGGTGAGCCTCCTCCTCCCCTAGGGTCAGTTAATGGATCTAAACTGCCTGACGCAGCCACAGAGTGGGCATGAAGGGAAAGGCAGACCAAGGTCTTAGCATCAGACACGGCACCTCATCAGTGCTCAGGGATGAACTCTACCACACCAACTCTAGTGGCCTTTCCTCAGTCTCCTGACCTCTGTCACTCTTTGAGTCTCCTGATTCCTTAGATTTCAGCAACTCTTTGCTTTCCTGGTTCTTGGTCCTACATGCCCAACTGTTTCTGCTCTGGCTCTGTCTTTCTCTTAAGCCCGACTGTGCTGTGCCCAAGCTCTCTGCCCTCAGCCAGTTTGAGTCCCACTCTGCATCCTTCCCCTGGCATCTCATGCGCTCACTGCTGCTCTGGAGGAAGCAGAGGCCTGCGTATCCACCTGCGTATTTACCACCTCGGGAAAGTACCCCCTTTTTCTTCTCTTTCTCGTCCTTCCCTTCTTCCAATTCATTAGACAAATGGTCACCTATAATCATGAACACTTCCTAGGGTATATACATGTATGTATACTTCTCCCCAGGGGTATCCCCCATACCTCAGGCTCAGGCTCAGGATACACAGGACCAAGCAATGTCACCCACCCCAGGCTGTGTTTGTGGTCTCTGTTTATCTTGATGTTTTCACAACCTCCACCTGTCTGGGCTCAAATCCTCAGTGTTGTCTCAGAACACCCACTCCTCAATACAAACAGCTGCCAAGTCCTAGGGATTTGAATTATGATTTTTAAAAATCCATCCCTCTTCTCTCTTCCCACTGCTGCTATCCTAGTTTGCACCCATGTTACTTTTTAAATGTTTTGAACAATTGCAAAAATCCTTGTATCCCATGTGTGCCTGCATTTCTTCCCAATTCTAGTTCAGATCTACAAGCAGAGATTTAATCATGTCACTCATTTGTCCAGAGACTTCCCAAACTAGGTGCAACCTTAGCATACACCATGCAGACCCTCCGGCATCTCCTGTCACCCATTCTCCCTCATCATCCAACCCAACGCTTGCCTTTTTCTCACATCTCTCACACTTTCTCCCTGAGCGCCCTTGCCTCAGCTGTTCTTTATGCCTAGAATTTTATTTATTTGCTTATTTATTTATTTTTATTGAGACAGAGTCTCACTTTGTCATTAGAATGCCATGGCATGATAGCTCACTGCAACCTCAACCTCAAGCAATTCTCTTGCCTCAGTCTCCCAGCAGCTGGGACTACAGGCGCCCACCACAACACCGGCTATTTTGTTGTTGTTGTTTAGCAAGCCCAGGCCAGGTTCAAACCCACTAGCCCCAGAGCATGTGGTTGGCGCCCTAACCATTGAGCTACAGGCACCCAGCCTATGCCTGGAATTCTTTCCACCCTTCCCATTCTCCAATCCTTTTTTCTTTCTGTTAAAATCCAGTGATCTATTAAGGAATGTCCCAAAGGCCACTCCTGAGAATCCCTTAAATGTTCTTTTAAGGCTGCATGCAGTGACTCACACCTGTAATCTTAGTACTTTGGGAGACCAAGGTTGGAGGATTGCTTGAGCCTAGGATTCAAGGTCAGGCTGAACAAAACAAGACCCCATCTCTACAGAAAATTTAAAAGATTTATCTGGGGCAGTGCCTGTGGCTCAAAGGGGTAGGGCGCTGGCCCCATATGCCAGAGGTGGCGGGTTCAAACCCAGTCCCAGCCAAAAACTGCAAACCCCCCCTAAAAAAAACATTTATCTGGACATGGTGCTAATAGGTCCAGCTACTTGGAAGACTAAAGTGGGAGGGTCAGTTGAGCCCAAGAGTTTGAGGTTGCAGTGAGCTGTGACAGCACCATTGCCCTCCAGCCCAGGCACAGGGTGAGACCCTGTCTCAAAAAAATAAAAAATAAAAAACAATCGTATGACATTTTATCCCCATTTAGTAACTATTACAGGCTCTTGAACATAGCAGGAACCCAAAACTCAGCTCACCAAATCTACCAACAACTCCAGTAACAATTAGGCTAATTTGCAAATGTAGTCTATTTAAACTACTTGCTGAGTTTAAATAAATAAAGAGAAAACTCCAAGTAAATGTTGCTGCAATATGTTGTAGTTCTAACTTCCCATTTAAACATAATTCAGACTTGACAAAGTAATTCTGATATCATATCAAAATTTCTAAAATCTTCAAAATAGCTCATTAAAGGAATCCTTTCCATTCAGTAAACCTCAGTTCTGCAGAGAACTCTTTTGTGTAGTTCCTGCAAAGACATTTACAGTAGAAAAAGCAACCTGAGTTTTTAAAATGTTTGAGATGGGACCGGTGCCCTTCAGTCTTGGGTTTACACAAACCTGAAATAAAACCATACCAATATTTTGAATCGGTGATAGAAGTCAATAGAAAGTTTGTAATGGCATAAATTTTTTTTTATTTGAAGGATTTATACAAGCCATTTTGATTCTCAGAAGGTCCTCAAGACATCTGCTCAACTTTAAATCTGAAAGCAAATGTAAATAAGCATTTAAATTTCCCTGTAAAATGTGGTAGTAGGTGTGTTTATTGAGACACTTGTCTAACACTATAGACTTTAATTACTTAAGAGCAGTTGTTTGCACCTAATGGGTCTCTGAGTGTCTGGAAAGGTAGTATTTGCATTTCTCTGAAACACCATATTTTCCTCTTATTTTAGTAGGCTTCAAGTGGAATAAAAGCCACTACAAGATTTAGAATACACCAATTTCTGGATTCTGTTTAACACTGTATGTGTGTGTTTTGTCAAATCACATATGCAGCCCGTTGGATTTGGTCCTTAAAACCACTCAGGAAGCCATGTCAATTTCTCTTTTCTAATTGAGGATTTTTCTTTTTTTGAGATGAATTCCCACTCTGTTGCCCTGGGTACAGTGCCATGGCATCATCATAGCTCACAGCAATCTCAGTCTCTTGGGCTCAAGAGATCTTTCTTGCCTCAGTCTCCCAAGTAACTGGGGCTGTAGGTGCTGACCTTGATGCCCAGCTAGTTTTTCCTTTTTTAGTGGAGACTGGGGTATCACTCTTGCTCAGGCTGGTCTCGAACTTGTGAACTCAAACAATCTACCCACGTTGGCCTCCCAGAGTGCTGGCTAGGCTTACAGGCATGAGCCACAGCCCAGCTGGGGACCTTTTTGTTTTCATCAGAAAAATACTCAGGCTCCACATCCCCATCTATAAAAGAGGGAAAAATGGGATTTGGGGCAGGTTGGGAGGGAGGCAAAATAATCTACAATGGCAGGCTGCATAAAGTGGGGGTTGAGTGAGGTGGCCATATAATTTATGATGCCGTCCAGGATGCTTTTGAGAATGAAAGGAACACTAACCAGAAGGAATGCTTGAACAGTAGGAGTCCACTGGGATTGTCCTGGGCAAATGGTTTTGGGGCAGTTTGGGGGCAGTTCCAAGGGTTGGAGTATTTGTACATGCAAACCCCCATCTGGGAGGGCTGCTGCATGAAATGCCAAGGGGGCACCCTGGGAGGTGTGTGCTCCTGAGAACTGCTGGGCCATCTGGG